AAAAAAAAAAATCTAAAAAAAAAAGCAACAGCAGCTGCTTCAAAGAACACTCCACTCCAACTTCATTTTCCAGGTTCTATAAGCTTATTGTTCAGAAGGAAGAGCAAGCATTTCAGGGAGAACTCTAAGGTCAAACGTCTGCCAAAGGTCTTTGTCAGTTAAAATGAGGACTTCTAGTCATTTAAAAAGGCAAATTCCTGTGAGTAGTGTCCTTTTCTGCTGTCACTCTCTTCACCCATGAAGGTCCCTTTCTCTCTCAGCTCATGTGGACAGTCAGAACTGCTGTCAGAACTGCAGATCAGGAGTGATTTATTCATTGATTTCATTCCTTGAACTAGATTATTAGTATGAAAAATTTATAAGTGCACCCACCTCCCCAAAGCTGACAGTAATTTTTAGCCGCCTGTCAACTCCATTACTGTAAAAATATTACACCAAGAAAAGCTGAAAGTAATCTTTGAGTTATGAAAACGTACACACCCTTTTGTAATTTTATCAAGCAATCTTAGCATGGGGCAGCTCAAACAAACCAGGGCTGCATAGCGTCAGCTGCCGTCACTTACAAGCTGGAGGAACAGGATACCATCCTGTATCCGTCTCCTTACAGGTGGGTGTTGGCTCACGTTAAGCAGATGGTGGGTCTACGATTCTACTGTGCTATATATTTCTCAATAGACAAATATTTGCACTGGACCAGAATAAACAGGAAAAAAATTCCTCAGCTTAGTCTCCAAAGACTATCTCAGTGTTAGGACACCTCAGCATTTAAACTATTTCAGGAGGCGGGTGAATGAACCATGAGTCCTATCTTTTATTTTTCCTCTGCTGAAAACCTGCTTGGACCAACAAAGGAAAAAGGTTGGAAGGTGTAGTGTAGCGAGATCTTTTTGGGAATTACTCGATTTCTCCTATTGGGAAAGCTCTTTCAAGGGTACAATATAAGCATGCTTTAGGTCTAATACAAGTTTGCTAGCAGTTTCCAATTTTAGCCAGAAAATGAGGCCTATCTAACTTTATTTCTCTAGTAATGCATATTGTTTCTTTCAAAAGTATGACATGGTCATTTTTTATCATGAAGATAAATGCACTGATGAAGAAATTTGAGTAAATGTTCAATAGGTTTGATGGTAGTCATCTCTTCCATGTGGGCCTGTTATTTTTTGTTTCTTTGTTTTTTTGCTTTTGTTTTTGTGTTTCACATAGGTACGTATTGAAAAGGTGCAAATTAGTATTTGATTTAGCTTCCCTGCTGAACTTGGAAGAGCTGTTCTAGTGTAGGGAGAATGAGACAGATGGATTTCAAGGGGGATGACATTAAGGAAAACATATAACCTTCTCCAAAGTAGCAACAAAAGAAAAGCAAGAGTCAACCACTGGGATGATAATACATTTCATGTGGTAAATGTTTTAAGTCCTCTAAAATGTGCTGTTTTGACTTTTGAAAATTAATAATAGTGGGAAAACTTATTTAAATGACTACTCCTCCAAAAAGCAAAATAGTTTGACCCATAAACCTCATCTATCATGATTGGAAAATTAAATCTAAGATGGGAGATCATTTGATTCATCTCAATTTCTCTATAAGGAAAAGGCAATCAGAGTAAGATACAATTTCCAAGGGGCTTCTTGCATTTCCCTCCGGAAAGAAGGTCCAGAGAAATGCAGTAATTGAGCCTTCTAATCATCCAAGAGTGGCCTGAGATGGCTAGGACTAGGACTAAAAATCTCAGCAACCACTGGGAGAAGGCAGCGTGCTGAAATGTGGAGGAAGATGGTATAAAAGAGAAAGACAAGGATGGGTATCTGGGAAAGATTCAGTGAAAAAATTAGAGGAGAGGGAGAGACAGAAACATACACATGTTCTCGTGTTCTTGTTCTCTCTCTCTCTCTCGGCTACAAGTTTGAGAGAATTAGAGGAGAAAGGAAAAAGGGACTTAAAAGTGAGGCTATGAGTTATGACATGGCTCTCCATTAATGTTCTTTGAGAAGTGCAAGTAAAATGGGAATTATTTTTAATTATTTTTGTTGGATGGAGCCTTATAGGGCCAGAGAGTAGCTGAATTAGAATCATTACTTTCATCAAATATTCCACTTAATTATGATTCATAATCTATGAAACATTACCTTCAAAGCATAGATATTAGAACATACCTATCTTAAATAAATAATCTTTGATTATTGAGAGCCTTCTAGTATCTCAAATTCCATCATACCCAAACAAATAGACCGTTCTCTAACGCCAACAACTCAAACTTTCATGAGAATTCCAGAGTTGATGTCTCTCTTGATGTATTTTCCCATTTTTTTACTTGAACTCTTTGTAGTGCATATTTTCCACTTGCCTTTCGGACCAAATCTTCCCAAATATCCTCCTATGCTCTCTAATCAACCTCCAAACTTTGAAAGCACTAGGGCCCCGAACTAGGCCCTCCTTTATTTTTTATCTACAATCTTTCCATAAGTTATCTCTTCTAATTCTATTTCTTTAAAATCTACTGATGACTCACAAATTTTATGTTCAGCCCTGATTAAAATAGAGGTTTCATTACTTCATAGATGGTGTAGAGGCCTGACCACCACACTGTATATCTAAAGCTGATGTTGAATAATATTGTATGTCAACTATAATTTATATACATATAGTCACAGGATGTGGAGTAAGTGTGGGAATGGAGTCAATGGAATTGTAATAGATATGTATGATATCGGGGGTGGGAGGGCAGTGGATGGGGAAGGGGGGCTGTCACTTTGTGAGCGGTGAAAAGGATAACTATTGCATTGTTTTGTACACCTGAAACTAATAATAATAATAAAGAGGTTTCATTTAATTTAAAAATAGTTATTTGCTATTTTTCTCTTTGAAACAAAGAGGAGCATAATTGGAACCAATCTTGAAACCTCACTTCTTCACCAGACAGAAAATTCTGTTATTTGAGCAACAACCCCACTAAAAGAAGGAATACAAACTAACAAATTTGGAGGTATAATGAAGGACATATCTGCAAAGGCCATAGATGCAATAGCCCTGATTACAAGCAGCCATTTTACCACCTGGTCAGTACAAAGCCTTTCATTCAAAAGCACTATCTAAAGAAATGACTACTCTGTGATTATTCCTCTCATGATTATCAAGAACTTAGACTGGTCCATTGTGGTATATAAAATCACTAATGTAAGCCTTTCGGAACATGAGTAATCTTTGAAAATTAGATACCCTGGATGAAAACAAGAACCAGCAATGTTTAGCACATTTGTCACTGCAATGATTAAATCAACTATAAATTGATCTAAAAGCTTGCAAATGTGCTGTGATATTTTGGGAAAAGCTAAATTAATGAAAATTGATTTAGAAAAAAAATTTGACAAGAAATGTGTCATGATAGAATGAGGTACCAGAGACCTTTGCTGCAGGAGATGCCTTTATTTGCAGAAGAAGGGATAACTCACAATACAAGCAGTTGCCCAGTAAATTTCACTGGGCTTTGGCTGTGTCCCAATGAAGTTCCTTCCAGCAGAGCTAGAGGTAAATACTGATTACCAGCTGCCTCTATGTGATGACAAGTATCTGAGTAAAATGACATGTGTTTGCAAGACAATCATGGGTTGATAACGCTGGCCGCATTTTAGAGCCTTCCTGAATTTTGACAGTCTTTGACTATTCAGTTTAGCATTGCATCAATCATTTAGAAGGGTTCTTGAGTTATTTATTTGTGTATGTATGTGATTGTTGCAACAACAGCGTATGCCAGATTCCAGCATCTGATAGGTTGAAAATGTAAAATATGTACATTACACCAAAATGTCACAATCAATTGCAAGAAGTTATTATTTTATATATAACACTAAACACAATTTTAAAATGTTGCCAGTTCAACTATGACATATGGTCTTTTGTAAAAAGACATTCCCGTTTCAGAGCTTGCAAAAAGTTGAAAAATGTGCATCTTAGAATAGAAGAAATGTGTTTATAAAAGACAGATTGTAACGTTAATCTTGATTTCTAAGCTTACATTTACTAATTCACAGTTCCTGGGATCCTAGCAACTAGTTAAGTTACTAAAAGTATTAGTATTTTGTAAGTTCAAAAGGAAGTAGCTTTTAATGCATAAAACATTTTCTGTATATTTGGAATTTAACATTTTCAATATTTGGAATTCAAGATTTTCAATCTATATAGCTAAAAAATAAATCAAGCCCTCTCTGACCTCAAATTACGTATTTTGACTTTCACTTGTCTGCACTTTTGAATGTAGAATGAGGGTTTAGGAGCCAAGGCTTATTCTATGTTTGACTTTGGACAAGTTGTATAACCTCTGGGTTTTTCATTTAATAACAGTCTTGTTTACAGGACTGTTGGAGGATTTAAGAGATGTGTAAAGTGTTTGGAATGAATGCTGCCTGACACGTAGCAAGCACTGAGTAAATGTAAGTGATTATCATCATTTCACATCCACTCAAAATACATATACCAGGAGTAATACAGGATTAAGCTCTATTGACATGCCCATGGGAAGGGGGAGTAGTACGAAAGCAAAGGAAGTGTTTAATGCTATTGCTAATTAACAAACCACTTCAAAACTTAGTATCTGCAAAGAGCTTTTTTTTTTTTACTTTTATTAGCATTTATTTGATGTTGAATTTACTCCCAGGCCATAAGTTTTTGTTTCTTCAGTTTCTTCTGGGAGATCTTTTTCTTCCGTGCAACCTCCTCTTCTGGTTTAGGAACAATTTGTTCCTTTTCAGTTAGGATCATCTCAATGTGGCAGGGAGAGCTCATGTAGGGGTTGATCCGTCCGTGAGCTCTGTAAGTTCTGCGCCGCATCTTGGGAGCTTTATTTACTTGGATGTGCTCTATGACTAGAGAGTCTACAGCTAAACCCTTAAGTTCAGCATTACTCTCTGCATTTTTAAGCATGTGCAGTAAAAATACTGCACTCTTTTTGGGCCACCGACCCTGTGTCCAACCCCACTGTTTGGCCTGGGCACACCTCCCAACTCCACCATTGTAACGACGGAAGGGCACACATTGTTTTTGTAATGTGACATCCTTTAGATACTTGGTGGCTTTTCGGATATGCATACCCTTTATGGCCTGGGCAGTTTCACGAGTGTTCTTAAAATGAACCTGTAGATTCGAACCTCTCGATTTACATGATTTTGTGGGGTTCTCCGGGTCAAGAGAATAGCGAACCATTTTGAGAGGTCACCTCAGGCCGCTTTCGGGAAGAGCCAAAGAGCTATTTTTTATGTGCACTGATTCTGTGGGTTAGGACATCGTACAGAGTACAGCTCCATGATGCGGGGGGCCTCACCAGGAAGGCGTAAAGGTGGCGGAGGGTAACCCATGAGCCAAGCGTTATAATCACCTTAAGGTGTCTTGTATGTCTGGCAGTTGATGCAGTTCTGTCTGCCAGAAATCATACATGTGTATGCTCCTTGTGGTCTCTCAATATGGACTAGTGACAATGTCCTCACAGCATGGGGGGCTGGGTTCCAAGAGCAAGCATCCCAAGAGAACCAGGCAGCAGTTGTATTGCTTTTGAATACCTCTTACATCACAGTCATGCAGCAAAACAAGTTGAAGAGGCTCTTAATTTTGAAGTGTCAAATAACCACAGCCCAAACACAGAAACTCATTCAGAACTCTCAACAGTTTATCAGGCTCATATACTCTGAAAGAGAGCAAACTGTAACAAAATGTTCAAAGTTGCTTCTCTAACTAAGTAAAGAAAACAATAAAATAAACTTGTGGTTAGATCTATAGACACTTAGGGCCCATCATAAACTAGGTAAGGAGAGAAATTCACCTAGCATGTGCCTAGAAAAGAGAGCAAAAGGAACTCTATTCGTAAGGCTTCTGTTTGTTTTTAAGATTAAATTGTAGAATTCTTATGATTTAAAAATAATGACCTTTCATTGTGTATTTATTTGCAAAGCGTTCTATACAAGGTTTACTTTTTAAATATCTGATCTTTGCAGCGTTATGAGATTAGTATAATTGGCCCCATTTTACAGGTAAGGAAGCTGAGGCTCAGAGAGGTTTAAATAATTTGACCTATTCTCCCTGATCTCAAATTCTATGCACTTTCCATTACCACACAGCGCTTTTGATTTGTTTATAAAATTAACTTCTGTAGGACTTTTAAATTAAGAGTACCAAACAGACACTTCTGGCCAGGGTTTGAAGCAAGGAAATAGAATTCAAAGTACTATAGAAAGCTTTTGATTTTTAATATACTAAAATATTCTGAAGAAGAGATCATTTAATGTCCCCTGTTAACAAGCCCAATGAGCCTCTGGAGCAACGTACTTTGAAAGAGGCCCCATCTATCAATCAACACCTAACTTGACCTTATTTTTGTGAAGAGTATGAACCAAAAGGGAAATTTAATTAACTTCAAACAGGTAGAAAGCAGACAGCTTCAGGGAGATTTCTTACTGAGCCAAAACACAAGTTTTTGAACAAAAAAGTACAAATATTCAGAGGTAGTTCCAGAAATCAATAGGGACAACTGAGTAATGAAAATAAAAATCTGAAGTTGACGGGGTAAATTAGCTAAAAAATAAACATAGATGTTCAATGTTTCTAGAGCTCAATATTGCCATTAAAAAATAGACATTGGCAGCAAAATATTTCAGCAGTTTTAACATGGCAGATTCTTTTTCAGAGGCACACTTTTTTCTTTATTTTTCTTTAACTTCTTAGGCTGTAACTGATACTTCCTTAGGGACCTCACTAGATTTGTGGGGGGTTTTTCTCACTGTCTATATTAACATGACCTTCCAGATTTCTCTCAAATAATAAAGTATTTTATTGAGCTAGTGAAACTTTTTTATTTAGAGAGATTTCTTTCAAGATAGTGCAATAAAGGCATTTTACTGTGGTTTGCTACGTATTCCAAAAGGAATCCTGAATACTTTTTAAACATGTCACAGCACAAAACAAATGACACAACTGAATTTATAAAAGATAATCTAATACTAATACTTTCATCTAATTAGTACATAGAGCTCACTTATAAAGTTGGCTATTATCTAACATATTGCTGAAGATGTTAGGGGAAAAAATGTCATTAAGAAGTGAAAACAACTCAATGTACAGGTCGATGGCAGAAAATACAAAAGGAAATTAAGAATATTAAATTACATTCTTTCCACAATTAACCTAGTTCTAACTATATGGGGAGGGGGGGCCCTTTGTTGAATCCTCTTCCAATAACAGTTTAGATATACCATTTTATAACAAAATGCTAAATTCACCCAAGCTATTAATTACATAGATTTGAAAGCCTCTCTATGAGAGTAATTTTAAATATGTGTGTGTGTGTGTCTGTGTGTGTGTGTGTGTGTGAGTGTGTGCATGTGTCAAGAAATAAAAGAGGAAGTGGTGTCTTGCTTGCTTGCTTGGGTTTTTTTTTTTAACCATCTTTCTATATTACCTAAAGCTAGTTAATGGCGGTTTAAATTCTTTCTATTCAAAAACTTCTATATCTGAGACCTGATTTTTTAAGCTTTAGACTCAAAAGCTACAATAACCAATTAATAGTGTGGTTTTTACCATTTTATCCTAGAATAGGAATTTACTATTGTATCACAGAGTGACAATTACCATTTAGAAAAGAAGAGCAGTTAAAATATTTTTGTAGCTCTCAAGGGATTACCAGGAGCTCGGTCTCTGCCATGCACCTCTGGGTCACGTGACCCAGGGTGGCTGGAATTGAACAAAATCACCAGAGACCCATCTAGCGCTTCCTGACTTATGTAAATGCTCTGGCTGCTGAAACCTAATCCCTAAAAAAAAAATAACATTTCAGACCCTGATACTTGATCAACGTTCACCCTCCTATAAATAATAACAACTCAAAGGGCCACAATTTATCATCTTCACCTTACCTTCTAAAATAAGGAAAATGCTCTTTTTCTGGAAATGAATGTCATTCATTTGCACCTTGGGATCTAAATTCAAACGCTTTATTGAGGAGAATGTCATTTGAGCAATTCTTTCAAGCTTTTATTTGGAATTACAAGCGGGAGCCAAGGGGAAGGTAACTAGCTAGCAGAAGCCCACCCTCGTCTGCTGTGCACAGCTTCATAGAAGACTAAAAGCATTTTTTAGGAAGACCTATAAACACTAAAAGGAGATGGAAAGTCCCTTTGGGTTAGAAACACTCCAAGACTTTCCTAAACATCGCCTACAAATAGTTTTCTGTGTTGTTTTTGTTTGTTACCTTCAGAGCTCTCAGCGCATCAGTGACACCCATCAACACCCTGGGTCAACAGGCTGATGTAGCCCGTTAAATTGGTTAACAGGCCTGGAACTCCCCCAAAATATTCAATGAATGCCTCATTCATGTGGTAGGAAATGACATAAAATAGACTAGTTAAAAAAGAAATGTTGTTTACTTTCAAGTTTAGATAGTAACTGAATCTAATTTATGCAACTGCTATTAAAGGTTTCACTTCAGTGAATGAGATAAAATGGTCTGTTGTCAATATATAAGATAAACTGCAAAAGAAGCATTTACCGCAACCTGATATTAGGTTGTATGTTAAGCTGTTCAAGTTTTTAATTAGTTTGTTGCTTTACATAGGTAAATGTTCCCACTTGAAATCTTATTTACATCATTTTTTGGGCAAAGACTTACTTTTCCAAAGGCCTATCAAAGTTAAACGTCAAACCAGCCAGATATACATTATCATTAAGTCCAAATCAATGAAAATTGACAGTATGACTTCATGGCAACAGGAGGGCACTGTATACGCATGCATACATACATGGGCTTTCTTTTTGCCTCACATATCATAAATTATGTGATCAAAACTGAAAGTTGGCAACCTGAAACCATCAATAAGCACAGATAAAAGAGCTTCAAGAGACGCCTACTCTCTCAATCCAAAAAACCAGAAAAGGCAGAGCCCAGCAAGACAAAACTTTCAGACAATAACCATTCTACTACAGCCAAACACCATGGGGAAAGTTGTGGCTTCACCGTCAATCACCCTTGTCAGCAAAGGCCAAGATGAAACCCAAGACTTCCTCCACTACTTGGAGACAATGTGGTGCCCCTTCCAGGTATGATGGTGTGAAAGAGACCAAGTGCAAAGTGAGGACTTTCACCCCTTCCCAGCATTATTGGGGCCATCTCCCACCCCCATGTTGTCACCAAAAGCTATGTAGGGAGGAGTCACGAGGTACCCCTTCCTCTCCCAGGCAGGTGATACCATTGAAGGCCTAGTGGGAAGTCAGAACTCCCATTCCCATCCAATCCTTTTTGTGTCAACAAGGATTGAGTGGGGTACCTGGATTTTCACCACCAGCTGGCAGTAAGGAGATGGCTCACCACTTCCCTCACCAGTCACTGATAAAAGATTTGAATAAGATCCAATGTCCCATAATAGCAAAAATATCCAGGATCCATTAGAAAAATTAAAAATATTAATCATACCAATAACCAAGAAAATCTCAACTTGAATAAGAAAAGGCACTCCGTAGATGTCAGCACCGAAATGGCATTGATGTTGGAATTATCTGACAAGGACTTGAAAACAGCCATTATAAAGATGCTTCAATGAGCAATTATAAACATACTTGAAGCAAATGAAAAAACAAAATAAAACAAAAACAGAAAGCCTTAGCAAAGAAACAGAAGACGTAAAGAAGAACCAAATGAAAATTTTAAAATGGAAAGATACAGTAACAGATGTAAGGGGACAATTGCTGAGGCGATTATTACAGTCAGGTTCCAACTTTCTCAAGTGTTCTTAATACAGAGGGTGCCCAAAAAATGTTTCCCCAAGTAAATGTAGCAATATAAGTACACTATTTAAATTTAAGAGCTAAATAAATTTGAATAAATCACTTGTTATCTAAACTCCCACTACTTGCTGTCTTAAAGTCAGAAACAAAATTGATTTGGATAGTACGATAGCCCTTGTTATCTAACTTTGCTACCCAAACTCAATAACTAACTAGATCTGATAGTAAGGAATATTTGTGGTACCTATATCATAGAATTATGAGGATTCAATTATTTAATATCTTTTCAAGTGCATAATATGAGTACATAGTATTTGCTATTCCTATCATTTCAGCTAATATAACATAACATTCTACAAGGAATATTAATGAGCTACCTCTTCTAGGCAATTTATTTTTATTTAGAAGAGGCTCTTGGTACTTTAATCCAAAGTTTAAGAAGGTCTGACCCTCAAATGTTCATTTATTCATTTTTTTTTTTACCAGACGATGTA